TTGAATCTGTTTTAGCTTGCAATGCTCAGTGGATAATCCAAAGAATTGATTTTTGATCCCTGCTGTTCCTCTGTAAATATTGAAAATCTATTCTAAGTGCAAGTGCACAGTACACTGTTTCCATTGTATGTCAATATTCTGAGCTTTCAAAACACAGCAGGCTAAGCACCACAGACCATTTACCACCAGGATAGACAACAGGTCATTCTAATGGAGGATAAAAGCACTGTTGCATTGTCTATTGACAGGAGGACAAGTGGTGCAGCTAATAATGGAGTACCTTCCTCTGGGGAGTCTGCGAGAGCACCTTCCTAAACGTAAACTGGGTGTGCCCCAGTGCCTTATGTTTGCTCAGCAGATCTGCCAGGTGAGTTTAGGTGGTTTTGTAGTTTGTGCTAATCTAATCTACATTTCCACTTAATTTTACAATATTCCTGCATCTGTGTGCAAACTGTAGACATGTCTGTTTATGTTCTACTGCAGAAGAAGCTGTGTACAATATCAAAACATCCATAAACTTGAAATTGCTTTAAGTAGATAATCCACCACATTAAGCCACCATTTCATTTTGTAGCGGTTTCTGTGTATTGTCATTAATTAATTCTGTTTAAGTTGAGTATTTTTATTATACTAGCATTATGTTGCAGTGTGTTTTCTCTCAGTAACCAGGAAAATGTCACCATCACTCAATTTAATCGATTTAATTTACTTTTTGGTTTATAATACATTTTGTGGTATAAAGTTTGATAAAAGGTGTTAAAGAAGAGTCTACAACTAGCAGCAGCTTTGTGAGGCTGTAAATGCTAATGTCAACATGCGTACAGACTCACAATGACAATTGACAGGTATGATGCTTACCATGCTCACTATCTTAGTGTAGCATGTTAGCATCCAAACATTGTCTTATCAGCACTAGGCACAGTACAGCTGAGGCCGGTGGAAATGCCATTAGGTTTATTTGATCATAAATCAAAGTACTGGACATAAACAAATTAGATATGCTAGCTGAAAAGTTGGGACCATCAATATTATTGTAATCAATCCTGAGGGGAACATGAATGTGTGTGTGTGTGTGTGTGTGTGTGTACCAATATTCGTGACAATTCCTCCAATATTGTTGAGACAGTTTGCTCTAATCTAGCAGATGGTGCTAGAGGAAAAATCAGGGGATCACCAAAGTCAGCAGGATTTATTATCTGGAGACCTTGAATTGGCTGTACAAAATGTTGTGGTAATCTATCCATTTATTGTTGAGATAAGTCTGGACAGAGACATGCATTGGCAACCCTAGAGCCAACACAACAACAATTACTACAGGAATAGACATTCCTGACATTTGACATCAAAAAGACATTTGAAGTTGTTGTTTGAAGTTTTGAAGTGAATGTTTAAGTCCACATTTCCCCCCCTCTCAGTAATTGTATCCATATTTTATTTGTGTGGTTCTCTTTTAAAGGGTATGGACTACTTGCACTCAAAGCGATACATCCATCGAGACCTAGCTGCCCGTAATGTCTTAGTGGAAAATGAAAGTTTGGTAAAGATTGGAGACTTTGGCCTGACAAAATACATCCCAGAAGGCGAGATCTACTATCGTGTGCGTGAGCACGGCGACAGTCCAGTGTTCTGGTGAGTTCATGCAGCACTTAACTTAAGTGTTTCCAGTGCTTCCATTTCTTTGGCCACTAAACTGTATTTTTTTTGTACTGCATAGGTATGCCATTGAGTGCTTGAAGGAGAGTAAATTTTCCTTTTCGTCTGACGTTTGGTCCTTCGGCGTTACGTTATATGAGATCTTGACCCGCTGTGACCCTCGCCAAAATCCTCCATCAGTATGTCACTACTGGCCTCTTACAACCAACTCGAACCTGCATTTATTTTAACGTGACTAATCAAGTAAATGATGAATCTCTGTGTTAAATATACAATGTAATCTTTTCGTGTTTTTTGTAGAAGTTCAATGACATGATGGAACCAGCGCAAGGACAGATGACTGTGATGGTACTCATAAAACTGCTGGAGAGACGTATGCGGTTGCCTTGTCCCAGAGACTGCCCGCATGAGGTAACATTACATGCCTGTAAACACAATTGACACTTTTGGCATTAAAGCCTGATATTTTCATAATTACTTTTATGCCAACAGGTGAAGATGCTAATGGAGCAGTGTTGGGCTGCAGAACCTGGAGATCGGCCATCATTCAAATCCCTCATTGAAAAGTTTGAAGCAATTCGCCGAACATTCGACTGGCAGTCTAATATAAACTTTTCTTTGGCTCAGATTTGCTGATCAGGACTCTGAAGATCTTCATGTCTACATGTTATCACTTTGCCACTATGGCAACAGTATATTACAGCGTAGCCAACAATGTGTCTCCTGCTGTGCAATGCCTGCTGCCTCTATTTACATAGATAACTTTATACTGTAGGTTTCTTTTTGATAAAAGCACATTGCTATCCTCTCATATGTGATATTAACACAACAATAAATTAAATAATTGTGTTTTTTTTTCCTGGACTGGTGAGATGAATGGTATTAGGAAAGGTGATGTCTTTGGTAGTTAGCCACAGAGTTTTTAGCGTTTGTCTTTCAGAAGTTATAGTTTGCATATATCACAGTGAGTATTAATAATGTATGTATGTATGGTTGGGAGATTACTATTTCATTTTATGTTTCATTTGTGTACATTTGTTTGAGTGTATGTTCATTTTTGCATTTAATTTTGTATAAACCAAAATATCATAACACAAAATCGAATAAACAATTTTTGAGACTGAAACAGTCAAAAAATGTATTGCAAAATGTGCCATTCAGTTCTGTGTTACCAAACACTATATGCAAGAAAGCACAGCTACATAACATCTCTGTTATGTAAGAACTTACAGTACATCCCAAAGACAGTGATCAGTAACGAAATAAACCTCTACACTTACATTTTTCACAAACCGGTCACTGACTGAGGCAATGGTCTTTCATAACACCCGCTTTTGTCTTGAACATTTAGTTGCCTGTTCACATGCCACTAGGTAGGAAACGAAGTGTGTTAAATGTGGACTACCACTGACTCCAGCACATTAGTCCAGAAAATAACACACCTACAATGTTTCTGCTGCTGCTCTGACATTGGACTTCTGCATAATAATGTATACAGCAACCACATAGAATTGTGTGGATATGATGTAGGCCAAATTACCCAGATGAATCACAGACCAGAAAAGACCCATCTGACACACTTCCTATCCTGTAACGCAGCAGGTGAAGAGCAGCCAAATGCAGAAAATATAATAGATGTTCGATTCAGTGTTCTGCACATACCTTCAGAATAAGTCTGAAGTCTGAACCAGATACGTGGGCAGACATTTGTCCACCGGACAAAGCTGTCTAGAGTACAATGCAATTCAACAGCTACAGAAGGGTCTCTGTCTAGCCAGGAGTTTTCTAACCACACTGTCAACATAGCACACCTGCTGCAAGTATCTCACTATGTGTTTGAAGGAAAATGCTGGAAGGACCAAAGGCCAGGCATGTATCGCTGGACATGTCCAGGACTAAGGAAGTGTTGCATCAATCAGTTTTTCTCCAATAAGGATGACAAGCGATTTCTTTGCCATGTTGTATCCAGATGGATGGTGTTTTATGACTTCTGGAAATGATAACGACCCCTCCAGTCCTTGCTTGGACTGACTGTGAACCCTCCTGGAGGATGACACATTCCCCATGGCCAAACACAACCATGTCCCTGTATCCTTCAATACAGCCGACACAAACTACCAGTCTGGTCTAGAATTTATGTAACTTCACATTTTGCAGAACTAAAACATAATCAGTACCCAAACGTTTTATGAACATACGTTTTGTTTGATGAAATAAACCAATATCTTAAGCTTATAATTCGAAACAAAAAGTAAACCGCATAAACATGAATAATAAAGTAGTGCACATGGATTATGTTCTTTAAAATTGTGTTTTCCCTGCCTCTATCTATATAACGTTAATATAGTCATTTAATTATCGTGATGTTACCCAAGACTGTTGACTAGAATATATATAGTCAAATCTACATATCTGATTCAGTCAATAAATGCAGGACTTATATGTATGTATGATTAAAAATGTGATTATAAACGAGTAGATTTAAAAAAAAATAAATAAATACTAAAATGAAAATTTCTGGGGAACCGCTCAAATTAATTTTATGAAAAAATCTTAGCACTTAAATCCAGTTTTAGGCGGAACACAAACAACCGTGGCCCCGCCCCCGCCCTTCGTTACGTCGTAGTCATGGAGAGTGCGTCCCCCTCTCGTCCAATCAGAAGCGTCGCTGGGGCCATGTGTGTATTGTTTAAACTGCTCAAATCTGACTGACTTTCCAGACCCGATAAAACTTCCACCAAACTGAGTGATGGCGGCCGTCGTGTCTGTTAGCACAGCTGCCAGAGATGAAAGCACAGACACAGGACTCAGTTTCGCCTCTCGTCCGCTTCATGATAACTACGACCTCGCATCGGACCACGAAAGCTGGATGCCCGGAGACCGACGAAATCCCGAACTCGAACCCGGCGAAGAGGACTCAATTTCGGACCGCGAGTGTCAGCGGAGGGTCGACGAGGACTTGACATCACTGAGCCCCGAAGAGATAGAGAGCCGCTTAGAGAGGACCCGCCGGGAGTTTTACAACCGTAGAAAAATTATCATAAAAAATCTGCCATCCGACGTTAGCAATCAGGTATGAGTGTAAAGAAACAACTGGAGGTTTTAATGGGGTCGTTGGGCTAACATTAGCCTAGCTCCAGTGCGCCTGCCATGCTACCTACGTTAGCTCACTAGCCATTTAACTCGTTAGCTTTAGTTGATGCAATATATATATATATTTATATATATATTTTTTTTTATTCTACACCTGGTTTAACTAAAAGCCAACACGCCGTTTTAATTGGCAGCCGAGAAACACCATTAGTATTGTGTTTTAGTTTGTTAGGGTTAGCCGACAAACGCAGGTTTAGGTTAACTACCAGGTGGTCGGATAACTGTCAATAATGGTCATCTGTGGCCTTCATGACCTGCGGGTCCGGCCTCGAAGGTAACCATTTGGTGACTGGTATTCGGGTTTTTTCACCATTCATGTCCAAGCTAAACTTTTAGTGAGTATACTCTGTAGATGGGGGGGCTGCAGGTGCACTGGAACTTGTTTTCATAAGCCCATCTGTTGTTTAAGCTGCCGTTTTGGTTTATTAAAGCAGACAGTGATTTACTCATGATGCCACATTTTTTTTGGGAACGTGCCTGACTC